CAGAGAGTCACTCCCCACCCACTAGAAACTCCTCATATCATACAGTGCGTCATTAATATTTGCTGATTTTAACACGTCGACAACTTTTGAGCTGAATTATAACACCCAAGACAGTCTCTGTATAAACAACTAAAAATTTTATTGTTTGAGAGTTGCTCAGCTGGACAACCAATTTCACTTTTTATTAAAAAAAAAGCGAAGCTGCCCGATTATACGTCACGTAGGTTTTCATAAAACACGAAAGTTTATTACCACATTCACCAATGCTCGCCTTCGGATTCCGTCTTGTACCAGATGAAACCAATTAAAGACCATCTTGTTGCCAATTAGCTAGCAAGCAACTGCCACCACTTCTTGATCTCAAGCTAAATAAAACCGGAGTTACCTTAATAGCAACAACGTAAGAGTAATAGTCGTATCATTGGGCCCTAATAGTATCCCCCTGCAAAAAAACCGTGTCCCAACTCAGTGAAAATATATTTACGAAGACTTCGACAGAGATGGAGGGACTTTAGGACCTGAGGTGCTTAACGGCAGAGAGTACGAAGATGGCTGTCTTCTGTGTTGTTGGGCCGTGTAGTCTGGTAGAAGTTTACCGACGTCTCAGACGTACTTGCTGCCCCCATCATCAGGGGGATGAATATGGAGTCAGCAAGTACCTCTGAAACGTCAGATAGTCATCTTTTTGGAGGGATTTTGTTTTTCTTGAAACCCTAACAGGCCAAGTATGTCGAATAATGGGAAAGATGATTATGATACAAAAGACGAAGGTAGGGAAGGGTTGTGAAAAAGTTAAATGGTTCGAACTGAGAACAGAGTACAATGGATGGATACCTTTTGTGACGAATATAAACCTTAGGAACATTATTACCTTCACAGCTAAACTTGCAACCCGAAAAAGAAGTCTTGTTATAAGAAAGTTAATCAACTACAATATGTTCACGATACGCTCGGAGTTACACTACGTCACTAACTTCATGAAGCAGAGTTCTTCTTCAGAAGCTAATACCACTGACAACTACTCAAGAAATTTCCCGCATTTTATAGAACTCTAAGGTTCATTGTCGTGTTCTCAAACGCCAACTACCGCTCCCTGTCCTTGGTCAGATTAATCCAATCCACAAACCTAAATCCTGTTTATATAAATTCCATTTTAATATCATCCTCTCACTTACGCCTAGATCTCTTCCCATCACACTTTCCAACCAATTTTTTTAAGCATTTCTCATCTCTTCACGCGCTCCAAATGCCACGCCCATCTCATTCTCCTAGATTTGATCATTTACAAATTATTGAGCAGTTTACAATATACTGTATAGTTCGAAGATGACACATTTAATATCGAAACATGTCGCCAAGAATAACATGAAGTAATTAATGCACAAAAATAGACTGTTGTGTAGATAGAATAAACAGATGAATAAATAGCAGAATAGAATACTCTAGATAAATTCCTATGGCCGCCAGCCAAGACATTTATTTCTCTCAAACGCGGTTCACAAGATCACTTTCGGCAGAGCAAAACTATCTGCAGGAGTTTAAAAACGTAATACAGTATGAGCACATTGATGCAGCGTGTTCTAAAACCATTCGAAAGTTTCTCATAAATTATGTTTTAATATTTCCAAATTTCCACGTTAGAAGCATCATCTCACAGCGTCCTCGCCTTGCGGTGTTCGGAATCTTGACAGTGTTTTGTTTCTACCCTAGTGACGTTACTTGACGCTGGCTACGAATTTATTTACATCTGCGTGGCACATTAACCCCATTACTACTTAAATGTCCGTATGTTTAACGACAGGCCATAACGTTGTCTCATTATCGACTTTGATATGTGAGCCATTTTGTCTCGTAAGACTGTATCATAAGATTCAAGGCTAATAGTGATCATATCAGAACGGTGACGTGGGCGAGTTTAAACCACAAATCTTATCTACTGTATCTGCTTTTCTCAGAACATTTAGCAAATGCAATTGCACCCGTTAAATATTATACTGGAGAACAAGTTGAGAAATATTTGCGAATAAGCAGCTAGAGCCATCTCACCCATTATCTCAGAAGCTGTAGCAGTACGAGACCTGATTTACGATGTACAGGTACCAGGCTTGAATCTCTTTATCCCGATTAAAGTCTCCATCGTTGACCTCAGTAATATCGTATCGAAATAATTTGCCTCTAGCAGCTCAGAATATCTTTCATACATGAAGCTTCCATATCAAAACCTGGATAATATTAAAAAAGAAACAAACGAAGTGTTCTGTCTTCATTTCGCACCGCCATAGCCTCGTTTAAATTTCTTGCTACCAGACTCGCCACAGTCAGAACTTATTTTCAATTCACCCTCCCCCTTTATCGCATGAAAGAAGCTCGCGTGACGTAAATTTTCTATTATATTAAAAGTACATACCAAAGAACATATTAAAATAAAATCCGACAACAATAAAAGATATTTGGCAAAACCTAGTATGAGATGGTCCAAGATGGGACAGGTTTCTAAACTGTAATGAATGATGAGACTAGGGTGAAGCGAACTTTTTGCGCGTCACTTCCTTTTCAGAAGCAAACGAAGAGTCTTGCATAAAACATTTTATTCAGAGATGGCGCATAAAGCCGTGAACTGAGATGTCTGACGTAAGGGGGACTTTTTAGCTGCCTGGATAGAACATGGAGGCGGACAGCGCATGAATAGAACGCTAGGGCACGAGGGGATACGACCTTACCGCACTCTGTGAATGGACCATAGAAATGAGAGTCTTGATATAGGAGTCTGATAGAAACGGAAATGAGAGACAATTTCATTTTAACCCTTTGAAACATTACGAAAGAGACAGAGAGAGTAGAAGACTAGAAGCAAAGATAAAAATTATGAGGGGAAAAGAGAGAGTTAATTTATTTACGGAGGTAAAAGACGCATTTGTTTGTCAGGAGGTTCCCAGGATTTCCGTTCGCCTTTCCGATAAGGGAATAATGATAATGAATAAGTTAAGGTGGTAAGGATATAAAGTACTTAATTCCTGCAAATAAAATTTTAAAGTTCAGTTCGTACCTCAAAGAAAACAAGACGTGTTTCTATTACAAAGATCAAGAAATGATTAACAGCATTAACGAACTATTATAAATTACTGTTTAGAGAAATAAACGCTGTTTTTTTTTTAAGAATCACATGAAACTCTTAAATAAACTACATTCCCGATATCAAATGTCATCAGCCGTTGTCAAATTGTTATCTGTGCAAAGACGAACAGACGGGTGGAGCGATTTTAATACGCTCTTCGTAGGATTGGGATCGCGCCTTAATAGGAAGCACCTCTTGCGAATAAAACCAAGTTGTTACTCAGACGTTTATTTACCTGGATGTTGAGATTTTGATCCGTTATGTGAACGACGTCACTACATTTATCAAGTGCCACGTACGCAGCCTGTGCACTGGACAACTGCAGTCGCGGCTGAACATCGCTCACGTACAGCTGGAGAAGTTCATTCACGGACTGCACCAAGCTGTAGGTCTCCGTGAACACCTGCAACAGAAAGCAAACTGATGTGGTGGCAAAGAATTGATTCACTACCCCTACTGGGTACAGAATCCCCGCCAGTGGACAGCACCTATTTCTATTCTGGAAGGAAACGTTTTACACCGACTGAGATGTTACATAGTTTTTCTCAGTAGCTCCAGAAGGATTCTGGTGATAGTCATTTGATGGTTAATAACAGCTGTAGTTGATACAGCGTCATTAAATGTTCTGCAATTTATATTATTATTATTTAGTGTTCTGTCTGACCACAGGTCCATATGAACAGGATCCTTCCATCCTTTTCTCGGACTGGGACCTGTTCTTAAACGTTCTTGGCAGATGATCCAGAAGTGGTTTGCCATTGCCTTCTTCTGTGTGTGAATGGAATAATTGTTGGGATGCCACGGAGAAACCGGGGAAGCCCCCGGAGGAAAACTCCGTGTTGCCTACACCACGGCCTTGCCCAACACAAGTTATAAATTCGGGCACCGCCGGGAATCGAACCCGAGACTCCAGGATTACAAGGCCAGCGTTCTAACCGCTAGACCACCGTACCCTTACTAAAACGCTTGAAATGTCAGATTATTCGTTACATAGTGCGTAATTAAGATCTCATGACGTCAGAACCCATTACTACAAGCAACACATAAATGTATATTTTTAGACTGAACATCACAAATCTCTACAGAATGATTTTTTTTAAATATTTGTCTGGAATAAATGTTGTAAATACCAGGGCTTCAACAAATGTCTCAAACTAACTGAAATTTATGGTACACATTATATTCATACGTAAAAACCAATTTGTAGACAGACTTATAATTATTTAAAAAGTAGTGATAACTATATGTACCGCATTCTTTAACAGGATTTTCTGTGATTATATGGGTAAACAGCGATTAATTACCTAAACATCATTAACCCATTAATCACTGTTATGGAGATGAGTTGTGTTTTCTAAATATCCCACAGGCTAAACATAACACCGAAACGTCCAACTGGAGAAAATCCTTTACACGGGTGATTTTCCTTCATTTCTATCAACCTTAATGCTGTGTGTTTTGAAACAAACGCATTCATCAACATGTCGTTAATTACATTTTAGAGATCGCGTTTGATGTGGACAGACCCCAGTCATAAATATCATCTCGTCTCGTGATGACACACCCTCTTGCATAACACCCATCATATAATACATACATACATTCACATTCAGCAATTGGATGTTTATTCCTGACCCACCTACTTCATTGTAGCCCTAAACGACACTACATTAAAACAACATGAAAATAGCATAAATAGCATAGAAATGTACATAACCTGACTAAGAAAAGTTATTATGTTATTATCCTGAAATAAATTTGCTGTCAAGAGATTATATATGCGTGAACAGATTACAATAAACTATATAAAACGTCACATAAAAATTATTACACAGATAAATGTCATCCGACCATTTCGCGTAGTCAAGCCGTGAAATGAACAGTACAAAGAAAATGTCAGTTTCATTTAAATGTGCTCAGAAAGCGTTAAAATTCGCATAAAAGCACGAATTAGTTTGTTGGGTTTTTTTCAGTTTTAATTTTGGACTTTGTTTTACACTACAAACAGAATTCGTTTGAAATAAATGAAGACCAAACATTTCGAAACAGTGGAACGGAATTGTGTTTTAATAGTTATCAGCGCTCGATCCAATCTTATTAAAGAGCATAAAATCTAACTGACTAGAATTTAATGATTCTACAAACGTAACATTAGTGTTAGTGCAGTTCTGCTGTTAGTTCGTAGAAAATATCACAGTTTCCAACAAACGATTTCACGAACATTCAACTGCCTTTTTCAGAAGCTAACAGTCACCCAGTTAGTTACGAAATTACTGGTATTTAATGGAACACAAAGGTTCATCACCGTGTTCATAAAATCCCGCCACCAATCCGTATCCTGGGCCACATCCTAATATCTTATTCGTCTTAATGTTATCTTCCCATCTATGAATACGTCTTGAAAACATTCTCTTGACTTGATTTCCCAAACAAAATTATGTATGCATTTCTAATCTCCTCCAAGCATGCTACATGCTTCATACAGACAATTTGATTTGAGCCTAATATAAGAATTATCGCTCTGCTCTGGATTCGAATTCGAGGTCTTTTGAAACCGGAAAAACGAGAGATAAGAAAGAAGATTAGAAGCAAAGAAAAAATTTGGTGGGGGGGAGAAAGATTATCTTAGAGTTAGCAGGTCCCCAGACAATACCCGCTCGTCCTTCCGGTAAGGAAAGTGTAGTAGTGACAGTTTGCTAGCAGAGACGACGGAAATTTTGAGTTGCTTATTAGAGAATGTTGGAACTCGTCTAAATAATATTTAAGAATTTAGCCCGTACCTCAAAGAAAACACTACACTTCACCATTACAAAGATCAGCTGGTTAATGCTGTTTGAGGAAATACTGGGATACTGGGAACGACCCGTTCTTCAAGTGCCTGAGCACCGGGTCCCAAATTTTAGTTGACTTGATCTATGGACATTCGGTAGGACTCCTTGGATGAGGGATCGGCCCGTCGCAAGGCTTCTACCTGTACACAGGACAGCACAACACAGAAAAACGCGGACAAACATCCATGGCTTGAGTGGGATTCGAACCCAGCGACCGAGCGGCCACTGCGGACTCCTTGAGGAAATACTCTCTATTATAGTAAAAATCTTACAAAACACGCAACCACAAAATGAAGTTACGGATTTTTGAAGTAGATGGTACATTTACTTCCCACTGGGCTTAAGAGTGTTAATGACAATATTTGGCTCTCTAATTAAATTACCGTCCCTGTATCGTAGTAGCTCTTTATGTTTCGTGGGTTTCTTTCCTTTACTTTATTTCTAGGCAGCTCAGTGCATCTCACTTCGTAACATACTGCTCCCCTGGGCAGACTCAAAATCCACTGTCGTTGGTAACGCAATGTGATTATCCGCATGACTGACTCAGGAGTATAACCCCAAGCTAAAGCGTTTATTAATTAGAACTTGCTATTTTTACGTTGGCCCGAACGTTAGATAGAAGTGTGCTAATAAACAGACCAGCCAGCTTAACAGGCTTATATTACTAAACATTAAAACCAGACAAATGCAAAACCCATTAAAAATTCAACAGAGATTTGTTTTGTGTTCCTACACAGGACGTTCGTTAACTTTGTCAGTTCTTCAGAATCCTATTCCTAAAGCCATTTCCAGTCAGAAATAACATGTAAAAATGAGTGCAATTCTAAACAGTTATGGCGCTACGGATATTGTAAATTTAATTCGATTCGAACTTTACTTAGAAATCAGACATTAATATGTCTTGAATGTCTTGAAAAAAACGCGATTTCAAGTCCAGTTCCATCGTGGAAGACCATTATAAGTCAACACTAGACAGAATATCTGAATGAATAGTTCCCTGTAGTGGTCCACAGAATTGGCCATTGCGGTCACCGAACCTCAGATTTCTATAGAAAAAAAAATCACGGTGTATTAACACAAACCAAAGAGGAGAGAGGTGCTACATCATCAAATTTCCGACGTGTGAATCTCAAATTTCAAGCATCCGTAGCTCCGTAATAATTGATAAGGGGATCTGTGTTCACGTGGAATGTTTGATTGGGATTTACCTCAGAAAAAAGATTCTCAACTATCGACAAAGTCACTGGACATTCTGTATATTTACTGATTAGACATCGGTAAAGTTTAATTACAACATTAAGTTTGACACACCAACACAAAAAACATTTTGATAATAGTCATTAACAGGTAATTAATTGTATATGAACACAAAGACCATCAGTGACTTTCGACGTTTGCGAAGACCACTTTTCTATAACTAACTTCACGGATTAAAATTCTTATTGAAAAGCTTATAGTCGCTCAGACAGTCATGAAATTCTCCTGTAATCCATTACCGACTTCACGCCAGTCCCACCTAACCTCCAAGCTGGATACAAGTAAATATGAAATTTATTTTCGGCTATTATTTCGAAAATGAAACATTTGAGACCCCATGTTCATAGGAATATTATTTCTTATTTTTGATCCTGAAACATGCACACGAAGTTTGTAAACATACTTTTGACTCATCCTGTATGTGTGTGTATGTGCCTGTGTGTAACTAAAGTCCCCTTAAAAGCAGTCACACACTCCTAAGCAAACAGTTGCCTAGCAATGAACTTTTATAATTGGACGTTTTCGATTATTAGAGTGCTTATTATAAGTTTACTTCACTTTTCCCCCTTGTAGTTCATGACAGAAGAAAACTAAACTTCAAAAATTCGTTACGTGTATACAGCTTCCTTATAAAAAACCTCGAACTTTATAACGAGGCTGAAATAAAGACGCCATGCTATTTTTATTTATGAATAATATCTACAAAATATCAATTGTTTCAGTGTGTCCCAAAATCTATACAACCAGATCTTTAAACGTAAATATTTTGTTGGTGTGATCGATAAGTTTAAATTCTCCATGCCGTGAGGCTAAACTGGGCTCCTTTTACCCAAATAAATAAGTGGTTTGAAACAGTTTCTTCTTGATTGTCGCTCGCTATTTACTCCGTTATTTGTGTAACAAACATGACGTTTTCAAAATGCGGTGTGTGATTATTGTCGAACATTTTCGACACTCAGATAATCAGTTAAACAGGCATGACAGTTCCACCTTTCTGATGCTGATGTACCAAGTACCAATTATTTTTTTCGGAACGTCAATAATTTTCACGAAGGTACGAATATTAAAACAAGGTTAGGTATGTATACGGCATTGTGGAGGACACTTTAAACATGTTATAATTATGTAATAATATCCTTAATACATGTTTATTAATTCATGTATCCTGGTATTATTTACGTTTGGTTGCTTGTAACTTCCCCGCAATCTGGAAAAAAAAAACATTCCCTTTCCGCTGTCATGACAACGTGGCAACATCACAATTACTTCTTACTATTGGAAACATAAAGAATGTTCCGTCATAAAGGCTCGTCCTGGGTAATAAAATTCCAATACTTGAGGCCGGTAACATGATTTGTAACGAATTTCCTGTATTTATATTTGTTATTATTTTTCCAAATATCAGAGTTCATCTATGGCCTCGGATTTGTGGGACTCTCTGTATTAAATTGTTTTGATTGTATATGACGATAACGTAACAGAATTTAGATTATGAATGATCAACTGGAAATTGATATCGAAATAATGTTATCAAAGCCCGTTAGCCCAGAGTTTGCCTGAGGAATTAGCAATATCAAGAACAGCTCGTAAACCAGACGTTATTAACCTCTTTTATACTGTCACTATACATTTTACTTCGGATGACCAAAGATTCTCGTCTTTGACGAGATCTGTCTCAGGAATATCTCGGCAATTCGTTACGTTTCGTGCTACTTCCACATTAATTTCCGTCAATTAGTTAGACAAATTCTACACAACAGTATTACAAATTCGATTCAGATGCGGTCGTCTCTAGATCCGTGCAGTAATTTAAACAATTATCCTGGAAGAAATGAGGAAACTCTCAAAATAATCTTAGTCAAGACAGACTAGATTTGAAACCAGGATCTCGAGCGTAAATCAGGAGTAATAATCACTTAGTTGTTACGTTCGTTAAGGACTGGTGTTCGTGTAAAAGTTATTTGAAAAAGTTATAGGGTTTAAGTCTTGTTGACTGACACTGACGTATTTTTCAGTGTGCTCGATTCATCCCCGATCTACAGGTGTCGTTTCCAAGGCAACGCCAGGGTAGCAGAGCGATGAATTTTTAACCTCCCCCCCCCCTCTCGATTCAGAATCGCCCACACAGCAGCTCGCGATACGAAAACAGAGAAGGGTCTAAGTCATGCAGTGATTGTCTGAGGCATTTCAAAGAATATAAACAACAAATTAATAATTTAATAACACCATAAATTTCGATAATTCGGTATAATAAAAACAAATGACTTAAAAAACAGCAAATTTCCAAAAAGTAGAATTTAAGATTCTCACGGCTGTGAATACGAAAATTGCTGTCTTCTGGGTTGCAGGGATGACTATGTTTAATTATCGCCCTGATGATGGAGGCAAAAAGTATCACTGAAACGTTGGTAAACCTATAAGACAGCTATCATTGCTGACATATTGTACTCACCCTGTTGAATCCCATACTGAGCAATGGGGCGACACTTGAATCTTCTTTCTCGGTGGTACTGCAAGAAAATTAACAAACAAATTAATATATTAATTACTTTATCATAAATAATTCTAAATATAAGTATTTCGGTTTTGTTTAAAAACATTGGTTACGAAGTTTCGTTTAAGAAAACTTAACATGATCTATGTTTTCAGCGTGCACGTATAAATCACAGGTAGAAAATACGTTTTTTGAGAAAACTATGAAACTATTCAAGAAATCCCCCAGATTTTTACAGAAATAAAAGGTTCATTGTCATGTACAAAAGTGCCAGAAAATTAATTAAACGCACAGCAGCTGTCATCGACACTTAATTAATTCGCTTGTTAATAATCGTGTTTTACGTATTTTAATATATCTACATAGTACATATGTCAGTGTGGCTAATCCGTAGAAATTTGATAATTATGTAAGCACACAATAATTGTATAGAATCGATCCCACGCCCAGTCACTTCAAAACAGCTTCAGCGTGCCAATAATTCCCCCGCTGAAATTGGCAATGATATTAGAGTGCGTTGTAATCAACGGCTAACGCAAGAGTCATTTGAAATTCACAGTAAGGATAACACAGTTGAGAAAAAAATAATTTCGAGGACTAATTGCTATTAATTGGATAAATCCACAACGCGTTATATTTGAACTTTGACGTCAGAAAGTGTTAACAACAAGCAAATTTAGAGGAAACTAAAAGAAGTTGAGAAGTGAAGAATTTCGTACAGTTCTGTTAATGAAACAAATCTCAGTCTAGACGCAACACTCTAAAGTAATTAATACAGCCGACTAATACAGGTAGTCCCTAAAAGACACGTGTGGCCGCTTCTCAACTGTGCCACGAAGCTAACGGTGGCCATTTTGAACACATACACTAGATTCGATAATTCACTAAGTGCAAATGCTGACGTACGTAATGGTTTAGTTTATTCAAATGTCTTTTACATTCATCGAATGTGTGTATTCATATTTTTGGGACACTCTGTACATACAGAAGATTATCATACCTTCTCCGTACAACTCCAACTATAACAGTGTACTGAGCTGTCTTCAGGGAACGTAGAGCCCTGAAAAAAGGAACAAAACAAACTGCAGTAAAGTCACTCATTCAAAATTAAACTTCTATACCTGAAACGCAGTTTATCATATGTCTCAAATATTAAATCTGCCCAACAAGCGAGATAAATTTACTCTCTCTGTGTCGGTTTTTGGTCTCCATCGGCCCTGAAGATGGAGGCAGTATGTTCCTGCAACACGTTCTACCTAAAAATCCACAACCCAGAAGACCAACATGGGCCTTTTCTCTATAATTTATAAATTATAAGGAAAAAACAGGAAGATATTTAAATTTTAAACTGTCACTTGCATAGAAATCTTCATATTGAGGTTGAGATTAGATTAACCGGCTCCCACACATAAGAACAGCATGCAAATATATCTAATAAAGAGTTATGGATAACCAACAAAGGGCGATCCTCTGTCATGAGAGATAATCGATATCAATATCCTTACCTGTAAAGTTACTAATATGTTGAAAATCGTTACAAAATACATTTGATTCGGTTCGATTCTTCGACACAAGCTAACAGACTATCTCACTAACTCCTTGGAACAGAATCCTTCTTAATATGCTAAAAGTGCGCTCATATAGTCAATAAATTCCTTGCATTTTTTGGTAACCGAAGGTTCAATAAAACACAACTAGTCCGATTTACGAATGGTCTCTTCCCTTTAGGCTTTCCAAACAAAATTTTGTTCGCACATTTCATGTCCCCCGTGGAGTAAATTTACAGTTATAATCACAAACATTGCAGAGTAAGAGGTATTTACGAATAGTTGTGGACCGAAAGCATTCTGTGTTGGGCGGGCACGGTAAACTGGCATTGAGAATCATATTAAACCAATAAATACACTAGAGACATCAATAATACAGAGTTACTGAATGTTAATATAACAGGTGAACGACCCTACATAGTACCACTAAGCTTTAGAGTAATAAAATATTTTAATAACGTCCAATGTCCGAATAGAAATCCTACCCAAAACTAATTAATTGCGTATCGAATTTCCTTCAAACCAATACGACTTCCAAACAGATACAATGGGAGTCTCATTTCACTTAGAGACACTTATCCTTCTTTTATCAGAAATCAATAAGGAAAAGAATGAAATAGCTGGCTTTACGAGTCAATAGATGATAAAAACATTGAAAATAAAGGCAGGTGGAAGGGGAGACTCAGTGAAAACAGAAGTCAAAAAGCTGGCGAACTTAGCGGTAAATGGGATCCAGCAATTTCGTTGACAGATTGTCGATAAAAATGTGTTACAAGACCAGAAATTTCACGGGCTTGAAATCTCGTTATTAACGGCATTAATCCGAGGGAATTGGTTTGTCACGTTATTATTTGACATTTTATTTAACAGTCGTCTACTTGCAAAAGCTTGTTTAACGCAAAGGGACGAATTTAAAACACAAATATGAACTCGGCTGAATTGGGCTGACAATTAAATTAAGGAATGTTTGCACCCAATAAAGAGCTTCACAATTTGGGTGCGAAATATGTACAAAGCTCTTATGGAAAACCTCAAATAAAGAGACATCTTGGAATATCTAGGCGGAGATAGGAAGATAACACAAAAGGTCTGTCTTAAATAAAAAAACGTGAGGTACGGACTGAATTAATTTAGCATAGTGATAGATCTGAATTCAGGCGGATCAGTCTCGGGTTACTTCAAGTGAGATTTGTAAAGCTAACACTTTACCACTTTAATATTATCCTTCCATCTATTAGTAATACCACGTTTTAAGAGTAATCTCTGTAGGATTAGTTTGAAGAACTGTTAAAATCGGTGATATTTTAAAATAAAAATTAGAGATAATAAGTCAATAGACGTACTTGCATATTGATTCGCCGTCAATAATCTTAGGATTCCTGGTATCTATGACAACAATTTCGTGATTCGTCGCCTGGAATGCTTCTAACACGGTCTCCCTAGTGCTTGCCAAACTGAATTCATATCCCAGCTCCTCACATGCCGAACAAATGGCATCGCCTTGTAAATCGTCACTTCCAAAGGCCAGTAGAACCTGAAACACAGTGAAAACATCTCGTCAGGTGAATACGTACTTTCACTATACAGAAAAGATGCTATTATTAATTTTGTTTCAATTCACATATTTATTACCAATCTATGTAACTATTTACATATTAATTCTCCCTATGCAGTCATTTATTCGTTCATATGTGATTCATTTCAGGACGCTGTCAGTAGCTTAGACCAAAGAGTAGAATAATAGGTTAGTTAGTGAATAATTAACTGGATATATGGAATAAAGCGGTTGTGGCCTGATTTAAGGCACTATTCCGATATATACTGAGGGAAAAAACGAACAACCTCTGTCAGAACTGGTCAAGATTTGAATCAACCACCCATGCAAGTTATCAGTCAACTATTACACTTTCAAACCCATCCCAATAAATTCTCGCTTACGCGGCATACATATTTAATTACATTTCTGTCTTAATAAAGTGTGCAGATATTTTATACACCCTGTATATTTCCCAATAACTGTAACATAACGGATCAGAATCCTAGTTGTTGTTCAAGTTATCTCACTGAACATCGTTCACGTTTAGCCACAAGCCTCTTATCTGATTGATGAAAATTAATTGGCACTCTTTGTAATAAGGCCACAGTTCCACATCTTCAGTTCTTAATTAAATTCCTCAATAACCTTCATTATATTAGCACGAAGTGGGTCACAGAACGTTCCTCCCATTCCAAAAACTCGCCTTCCGCTTAACAACGAAAGCAGTGTCGTTACCACTCTTCGTCGACTGGAATGTCCGCAGGGCGGCTCTTCAGACTAAAGCCTTCGTCCGTTATTTACAGGTCTCCAAAGTAAATTTTGAAATATTGTTTCAAAGTAGGCCACGATAGAGTTCTTCAAGATCTGGGATATCTCGTCCTGTAGTCTCGTAGAGTTTGACCAGTCCTGATGATGGAGGCAGTAAGCACTTTTGAAACGTGGCCAACATCTACAAGACTTACACGGCACAATATCCCATAAGGCAGACATCTTTATGATATCAGCCATGTTTGACCTGAAATCTCACATGGGCAATCCACCCTAGTACCATTCGGCGCTGCATAAACAATTTATGTTGATAAACGGCGTTAAACAAACCAAGGTTCAATTAACGACATCACATATGTTTAAGACTCATTTTTAAACTATCTTCGGCGGAAGGAGAGAGTTAATAGCGTCTCCACAAACACATTCTACTAACGGCAAATTTTATTGTAAAACCTTTAAAATCCACTCCTAAATATAAGTGCCACCAGCATGAGCAACCATTAACTAACATTTTGCCCTTATAGTGTATTTATATGATTCTCAAATAAACAGCGATAATTTCTTCAAACAGCATTTACCAACTGATACTTTTTAAGGGAGACGTGTTGTGTTTACTTTGAGGTACAGACTGAATCTTTAAACAGTGATTATCCAGATCAGATTCATGCTTAAAACATCGAAGGCCACGTTGAAGTAAGTGTAGATATTACACACATAGCATCTCAAAATAACACTAATTGAACAGCTTAGCGACTATTACTTTTTAAAGGACTCTGTTTCACGAAGTTAATAAGCTAAGACTAACAAATTCATAAACCAGATAAATAGCGGGTTTACCATGTCTTGAACAAAAGGTTGCTTTAGAACATACATAAATAGAGAAATCTGTCCGTTTTGCAATAAGTTTTCATTCAAATCAGTACAAGGTCCGAAACGTATCACATCCATCTTCAGGATAGATCCCGATTCACATTTTTACCGCCGTGAAAATCTCAGATCTTGGTGAGAGGAGTAGCGGTTTACTAAAATTCCTGCCTTATGTATCCTTACGCAAGAAGTCCTGCGTTTGTCTGATGGTACCTTGTCCTCTGCTTGGTCCAAGAGCAACACGTGTTACCTGTGCCCTATCCATCATCCAGGCAGTGACATCTCCCCGATAAAAAAATAATCCGATCCTAGACAACAAACAGTGAACTCAAGGTAACCCGCCAAACACTGTCTCTGTAGAAACGTCCATACGCTGAAGTTCCTACGGCAAAGTCCACTACAAATTATCAAAACTTCTTTAACCACTGTAACAAAGCACAAGTGGATCGGTTTGTTTGTCGATTCGCTTGTTTATCGCCCTTTGTATATTGCACATGTCGTACAAGAACAAACAAAAAAATGTAGCTGTATTTCCATTAAGAAATTTAATATTTAAATACATTCAAATCAACATTTTTAACATTCCTCCATATATTTTCTGTCACTTATCAATTAATATAAGGATTTTAATTCAAACAACAAATTAAAGTAGAAACACTCAGAAACGAAGTTACAGTCTTTAAATCAGCGCTTCCCAAACCTGGGTAAATTACCCAAAAATGGGTAAAAGTGGTTTTTCTTTGGGTAACGACACACCCATTTCTGTGTGACTTGACTGAAATCCCCGATGGTGTTAATGGTTTTGCAGAGCGAATGATGGAGCTTAGGTCATGCAGTCAGCGCAAAATGTTATTTGTAGAAAAAAAGACCATTTGGAGTCTTTCTGGTCAATAATTCACGATGAATATCCTGTGGTAGCTGGGGAGGCCGTGATGCAATTACTGCAGTTTCCGAGCACCTGCACGTGTGAAGTAGGATTTTCCACTCTCGCCTTCATAAAGAGCACGAAACAAAACTGTTTGCTGAACCCCCAAAACGATTTGAGATGTGCTCTGTCTCCAATTCCTCCCAATGTTTCGGAACTAGTAAATAATATGGAGCTGTGGCATTTTACTCATTAGCTGGGACCTGGGTGATGAAATATTCATGGTGAATAATTACCAAAATTTTTGTGGCTGCTAAAATGTTTAGAGATGTTTAAAATAAAGACATTGCATCAAACTTATTTTGTGCTTCCTAATTTTTACCGATCTCTCTTGTCATATATATTCTCTGTGCGTTAGTGTTTTACCTACATTGGGTAAAAAGGACCTTCTGATAAGCGGTTTTGGGTAATGAAGGAAAAAGTTTGGGAAGCAGTGCTTTAAATCCTTTAAAGCAAAAGCTCGCCTATATAAGGTCAACTGGTTAACGCAGATCATTCGCTGTTTATTCTGAGAATCACACGAAACAATAATTAAAGGCAGAACCACGACGTTTTGTTAATTACGGATGACATTTCAGGTTCTCATGACAGCCAATATGAAGATGAAATTCTTCTCGGACGTTACGGTTTGTAGTCTGAAACGTCGGTGATATCTATAATTTAAATTAGTGGCTTTCTTGACTTTGTCCAACGTATTGTATTCTGCAAAGAATATAAAGGTTTGTAAATCGGATTCTTCCGCCCTCAGGAAAAAATGTGAGGAATAAACCTACTTAGCAAATTACTGACCTGTGTTTCTGTGTTCTTTAGTCTTGTTCTTGGTTTGATTAGTGAGTTAATTTTTATTCTATTTTTCTGTCTTAGCTTTCGATCTGTATTACCATTTCCACAATCTTTAATGTAAAATTGTCTTCTTTATCTACAGCTGACAAAATCTGGTGTTAGAAGATTATGTAGCTTTAGATCAGTGGGTAAGGATGTCCAGTGATTAAAATTACCTCGTTCTAGGAAACTCAAGAGTACGCCCTCCCGCCGTTCGTCTGAGAACAAAAAGATACGAGGTTCCGAAAAACATTCCTTCCAGAAAATCAGATTGATGGATAAAGTCCAGACACACAGTGACAATAACAATTAAATATCCATCGCGTTTTATCTATAAACATCAAAATGAACATGCTATTTATTCGAGAAGTATAAACATTATTACCTGTCTTCAGGTGTAAAATAGTAAGTGTTTTCTTAAATACAGCCCAAGTATTCGCAGAGAACAGAATGAAAATTAATATACTTGGTTAATTAAACTCCAAGATCCTCAGAATAAATGCTAAAAAGTTATAAACAAACGCCATATGGTATACAATGGTGGTTATATAGATACCAGAAATGGAGAGATAAAGCAAGCAGTTTACTTGTTTCTTAGTTATTCCCTTATCTACAGACTTCACTCGCATATTACAATACTAATTTCCATTACTACTGGTACGTGTGGTCCACAGCAGAGAACTGCTAACGTATTGACTTGATCAATTCTATGAAATCTGTTCCACTGAGCACTCCATACCCATTAAATTTAGCGACACACATTTCAATGCTTTAAAGTAGCCGTCATCATTGTCACCACTTTGCAATGGCGACAAATCATCTATCAAAGGTGATATTTTTTCGGTATCAAACTTCACGTTGTCTTTAACATCCTTTGTTTATTTAACAATTCTTTCAATAGCTTAAGACATAACACATCGTCGAATGTGAGAACGATAATGAATAACGAATTGGAAAGGATGTGGAAGTAAGTGGTCGTGGCCTAATTTAAAGTACTACCACGTCATCTGTCTGGAGTGATTGAGGTAAACCACAGAAAGGTGTCAGAAAAAATTGCACACATTCTTCATCGCCACGCGCGCTACATGCCCACCCCATCTAAACCTTCTTGATTTGGTAAACAGTACAAAGAAAGGAGCTCCTCATTACGCAGTCCTCTACAGACGTCTGTAATTTCATCCATCTCAGTTACAGACGTTCTACTAAGCACCCTGTTCTCAAACGCCTTTCAGCTGTCTTTCTCGCTTAAGCCCAGGGACCGGGTTTCACGCACATAAAAAACAACGGATGTAATTACAGTTTCAAATAACACAGTATTCATAAAAACACATTTTTAAATGATAGCTATACGATACTTCATTACAGAAGTGCCATCAATACCACACAATAAAATCTCGTCGTTTTTATTGAAATCCACGTGACACAGGAATCTTCATGTATCAGAGAATGTGACAGAGAGAATCGATATGATATTCATTATCTTATCAACATACTTGAAGATAAAGTATGTAGGTCTCACAATTAACCATTTAAAAACGATCGATTACTCGAACAATTAATCGCAAAGAAGAAACATTTTATTACGAACAGACAACAACACACAAATGTCAAAATA